CCCAATAATTCCTACTGTTTGGGGTTTCGATGGCTCTCAAGCTTTGTGTGACATTTTTTGCCAAAGAGTTTTGATAATATTCTTTTCAAGGAATTCCCTCCTGCAGATATATCGGGTATACTGTTTCTAATGCTCAACAACCCCTAACTCCAGTATCGCAAACAAAACGCACAATAGAATTCACAAGTTCAACTGCTGTGGCGGAGGTTTGGTTGAGCATTAGAAACAGTATACCCGATATATCTGCAGGAGGGAATTCCTTGAAAAGAATATTATCAAAAACCGAAGAATATCATCAAAACCCTTTGGCAAAAAATGTCACACAAAGTTTGAGAGCCAACGAAACCCCAAACAGTAGGAATTATTAGGTCATCTGATACGAAGCCGTGGAACTCTTATCAAAATAAAACGAAAAGGAAAACAGAAAATGAACACTTTGGCTCTAACGACAGACCCCGCGACTGCATGTTATGGGTAGTCGTCGAATCCTTTAGTCGCTAAGTGACTTCCCAAGGAAGAACAAAGCAAAAAAAAACCACCGCAGGGACACCGCAAAGACCCCCCTGGCAGCCTCTCTGGACGAGTTGTCCGAAACTGCTCGTTTCATGCCAGCAAAGCTATATCCTGTCGTCTCTGGCTCACTCATCGTTTCTTTGCATCGTTCTATGCTAAGACCATCTGATGCCATAATAAGGGCCACAGCGCTTTCTCTGTTTACTGTGAGGCCGCGAAAGTAGGGCAAACTTTAAGAATGGGGACCTGGCTACTTCCAGAAGGAAAGACGCCGACGATTTGCTTGAGTGCGGGGGCTGTCTTTAATAGCCAGCATTCAACAAACATTGCTGCCACAACCGTAGGCGTCATTGCCACAAACTGCGGTCAGTTTTCGGATGTCATCTTTGCTAGGCATTTCACACGCCTTCTTTGATCATACTGTGAAGACGGCCTCCAAAATAGTACAACGGGAATAGGAGCCTTTCTTCGGCTATCTTTCGACTGGTAGCCCCCTAACGATTAGAGGTACTCTTATGCACTTGTTTCAGAAGCTCTGCCTTGTCTGTTATCACTACAGGTAGTAGCAAGGGATCTATGATTGCATCAGGGTGAGGAAATATAGTGTAGTTCGCTGCGGACGGTTGGGCGTGTCAGTGCGGCTGCGTTTGGCGCGGTGCCAAACTCGTTCTCCACCAGTTGTTGAAGCGGGCAAGTGACAATACTGTATCATATCCTTCGTATTACTCGTTTTCTACCACTTTTTGTCGCATGCGCGTTTCAACAAGAAGGCAGAGAACGGCTTGACGGTGTGAACACTCATACTGCCTGACACGCCCAACCGTCCGCAGCGAACTGAAGTGTAGTCTAGGGCAAATGCGCTGCTTATACTAAGCATGATCATTGAGCGGCTCAAGAGAAATCCTGTTTGATGAGACGTTCCGCGATAATCGAATAGGCGGAGACCCATGACCATTGAGCCTTCTTTCGTGTCTAATCCTTACCGCATTGATGAAGGGTGCACTAGTAAGGAAAGCATAATGGTTAAGATTCCAAGGCGCTGCGAAACGTTCCTTTAACTACCTCTTCAATTGATCTCCCACCTACCAAACGAACAAAATAAGAGCAAATCAGGGTGGAGGTAAAATAAGGGCAGAAAGGGTCGGAAGCCCAATCAGGAGTCCATAATGACCAACGGACAAACGAAGTACGCAAAACAAAAAAAATACTCTAACAAATCCCTCACTTCCCGAAAAAAACGCTTACGGTAGCATTCAGAGTAAACCTTGTCTAGCGCTGTCAATTTTGCGTAATCGAGCATAGAAACCCTTTGCAAGCTGTCTCTGCCATCATAGTTTACCAGCCAAATCTCCGAGGAGCTATAGGAAATCTCTACGCGCGGTCTACATAACCCAGTGTATAAGTTCTGCTGGACAAACCATTGCACCTAATACTTGTATTTTTAAAAGTTTGCGAACATTCTACAATAAAAACTCGTACCAGATTTTCGAGAGAAGGATCGAACGTGTAGAAATAAAGAAGTGTGGTCGACATTGTCACGAGCTTCTCCAGATGAGGTACATCGCCGGTCTCGCATAATCTAAAACAATAATGCAGCCTCAAAAAAACATCAAATGTGAGGTGAGGAAAAGCATAATAATACAGAATGTATAGACACAACAAAACACAGTGAATTCCTCATTGGTGTGGTGCTATAGCTGGAGAGAAAGAGCGCTTAATGAGACAGATAGGACTCCCCCCTGGAAAAC